GGCAACTCGATCGCGGCGACGCGGCGTCGTCGTCGGCAGCAGCTGACGACCCTGTAATCGGTGTAGACCGCCCCGGCCTCCTCCCCTGTCCGGATGAGATTCGGGCGCCGCTAGCCGTGACTAATAGTGGCGCGAGATGGATGGGTAGTATTGGTACTCGTCACGTCAGCGTGCGTCGGCCCCACCCTCTCGCCCTCTCGCCCGACGCCACCCGAACACGCTCGCCGCCGCCCGAAGGTGGCCGAACACGACGCTTTCGGCGCGCCGCACAGTGGGCCAGAAGACCAGTGGAGGCGGCCAAAACTTTTGACACGTTTTGAGCTCCAGTCTGGGCATAATGTAACGGGCAGTTGTGGCTTGTTTGGGCAGTTCTTAATCTCAATTTGGCAGTTGTTACCGAAAAAATGGGCAGTTGTCTCGAGGCCAAATTTGGCGAAGTTAGGGTAAGGAAATGTGGCATAACACAGGTTTTGTGGGAAATGACGGAGTGTGTAAGCAGTTTTCCAAAAAAAATGACTAGAAGTTTATAAAGAATCAGAATCCTTTCGTGGTGACGACACGCATCTCGGGGAGACACCTGATCGCGGCCGCTGGGCCCCATTGACCCCCCCGGTCGTCCGGATTTCGGCAGTTGTAAAAATTTCTTACATTATGCCCCAGAGCCCCCAGCCTCCAGAGTCGCTAAATAGGACTCGAACCGAACGTGTGACCCCACCAATGGATTCCTCGTTCGGAGAGCTATCCATTGGTGGGGTCACACGTTCGGTTCGAGCCCTGTTAAGCGACTCTGGAGCTCAAAACGCGTCTAGAGTTTTGGCCGCCTCCACCGGTCCTCTGGCCCACTGTGCGGCGGTGCGCGCGGTGTGATGAACCTCGGCGCGGGAGAGAGAAAGAGAGAGAGAAACAAACATCGCCTCGTGCTTCCGGAGGCAGTCCCGCCTGCAAGCAGCCTGCAAGCAGCCTGCCGTCGAGCCAACGAGAATGGAATGGAGGCTTTTTACTTATTTTTATTTTCGGAGAAAAGGGAGTCTGGCTCGGCCGGCTCGGCTCTCCGGCCGGCTCGGCTGCGCTCGGCGCGCTCGGCTCGGCTCGGCTGTGGGAGGAGGCGGTGGCCGCTAGCTCGGGCAGGTGGACGGACGGGCGGGCGGACGGACCGGAGGGGCGGCGGGCAGGGGGCAGGGGCTCCAAGGCAAGCCAAGGCAAACAGGACCAAGACGAGTCGAGCGGGCCGAGGCGGGATGCGAGCCGGTGGAGCCGAGCCGGGGCAGGAAGGGCAGGGGTAGCCCCCCTCCCCCCCCCCTCCTCGGCGGGGTAGCCAACCTGGTTGCCAGCCTGCCGCCACCATGCGGCGCGCAGGCCTTGCGGGGTGCTATATAGGCGAGCCAATCCAACGCGTCCCCACCATCACGTCACCCTGCCCCGCCTCACACCCTCGCAAGCCTGCCGCCGCTGAGCATGGTGAGCGTGCAGCAGTAGCACGCTCCAGCTAGCAGGTAGCGGCGGCAGTCAGACCCTTCCCCCCGCCCTGCCCTCCACCGCCCGCGCCCTCCAAAGCGAGCCCACCACCTCATGCGGGTTGGGGGGGCTGGTGCGGGTGTAGTAGGATAGAGCGCTATAGCACCGCCTATGGCGTGGTATGCCCCCGGACTGCCCGCTGCGACCTGCGGGCCTTTTCGACTGGAATCTCTGACCCCCCCCTTCCCCCTCTTGCTTTTACGTTCACCTGAGGTTCACCTGCGACGCGCGTTTTTTGTCCTTGTCAACCTGCGACCGGTCCAGCACTTTATGTGCGCTCAGGGTTTGCGTGCATGTGCTTGTGGTGCTTGTGGTCTCCGAGTCGCCACGACACCGCGACCGATGGTTCCGGGGGGGGGGGGTGACCCACTGTAAAATTTTGTGTACAGTGATTGTGTGAATGTGCAAGAATGTGCAAGATTCCTGGCGTTTTTGCAGCACATGTTGCCTACTTCCAGGCGTTTTAGCCACCTGAATGCGGAATGTGGTCAAATTTTGTACAATGAATGTGGGAAGCTGTTCCCTCGTCGGATGGTTCGCTGTCCGCTCGGCCCTTGAAGGTGCTGGTGCTGAGGGCCTCGAAGCGCGGCGTTAAATTTGTCGACGGACTTCCCCGACAAGTGGTGGAAGCGGAGTGACTTTTCGGTCGCGTGTGGTGGTGCCGAACGAGGCGGCGGTGAGCCGCGACCGCCGCGCGCAAGGGTGCCGACTCGTTGTGTAGGTCAGCTCCTAATCAAATTACGTGTCCGTTGCCCCCGTCGCCACCTGCGGCACAGACACGGTCTCCAGGGGCACGGCCGGCACCGCCGGCACCGCTCGTCAAATCGGCCGGCCGGGCCGAGAAGACAAGACCCCCTCCATGTACCTCGCGCGCCCCGCCCCGCCCCGCCCCGCCCCAACCCACCCCGCCCCGCCGCGAAACGAGTTGTAATTAATTAATGAGTAGAGACCACTCAACAACTGCTTGCAGCGGCGGGCCTGCACCGCCTGCACGGCCTGGAGTCGCCGCAAAGCGAGCATGGCGCTGCCGGGGGGGGGGGGGGGCGGTGTTCACGCTGCGTCCGGACGCGTCCCTCATTGGACCTCATCATTACCCTCTCACCGTGCCTCGCCACCTCGCCCCGAACCCTTCGTGCACCTTGCCTCTCGCCCCGAACCCTTCGTGCACCTTGCCTCTCGCACCGAACCCTTCGTGCACCTTGCCTCTCGCCCCGAACCCTTCGTGCACCTTGCCTCTCGCCCGAACCCTTCGTGCACCTTGCCTCTCGCCCCGAACCCTTCGTGCACCTTGCCTCTCGCACCGAACCCTTCGTGCACCTTGCCTCTCGCCCGAACCCTTCGTGCACCTTGCCTCTCGCCCCGAACCCTTCGTGCACCTTGCCTCTCGCCCCGAACCCTTCGTGCACCTTGCCTCTCGCACCGAACCCTTCGTGCACCTTGCCTCTCGCCCCGAACCCTTCGTGCACCTTGCCTCTCGCCCGAACCCTTCGTGCACCTTGCCTCTCGCCCGAACCCTTCGTGCACCTTGCCTCTCGCCCCGAACCCTTCGTGCACCTTGCCTCTCGCCCCGAACCCTTCGTGCACCTTGCCTCTCGCCCCGAACCCTTCGTGCACCTTGCCTCTCGCCCCGAACCCTTCGTGCACCTTTCCTCTCGCCCCGAAACCCCTTTGTGCACCTTGCCTCTCGCCCCGAACCCCTTTGTGCACCTTGCCTCTCGCCCGAACCCTTCGTGCACCTTGCCTCTCGCCCCGAACCCTTCGTGCACCTTGCCTCTCGCCCCGAACCCTTCGTGCACCTTGCCTCTCGCCCCGAACCCTTCGTGCACCTTGCCTCTCGCCCCGAACCCTTCGTGCACCTTGCCTCTCGCACCGAACCCTTCGTGCACCTTGCCTCTCGCCCGAACCCTTCGTGCACCTTGCCTCTCGCCCCGAACCCTTCGTGCACCTTGCCTCTCGCCCCGAACCCTTCGTGCACCTTGCCTCTCGCCCCGAACCCTTCGTGCACCTTGCCTCTCGCCCCGAACCCTTCGTGCACCTTGCCTCTCGCCCCGAACCCTTCGTGCACCTTGCCTCTCGCCCCGAACCCTTCGTGCACCTTGCCTCTCGCCCCGAACCCTTCGTGCACCTTGCCTCTCGCACCGAACCCTTCGTGCACCTTGCCTCTCGCACCGAACCCTTCGTGCACCTTGCCTCTCTTGCGCCAGGCGTCCCGCCCCGTCCAACGTCCCACATTTCGCCGTCGGTCCCTCCTATTGGTGACACACTGGTTTCGCGAGGAGGTTTGCGTTTCGCGACGCGGGACGCCTCACGTTTAGGTAGGCCGGACACGCGTCGCGCCACTGTGTGTGTGTGTGTGTGTGTGTGTGTGTGTGTGTGTGTGTGTGTGTGTGTGTGTCGGGGCGCCGTGCCGCTGCGCCGCGGGCCCTGCTGCGCTTTGTCACGTCCCCGTCCACAAAGGAGACAACAATAAATTTTCATGCTCTAATGAATTGGGCGTCGTCGTCTTCTCCCTGGCTCTCTCTCTCTCTCTCTCTCTCTCTCTCTCTCTCTCTCTCTCTCTCTCTCTGTGTGTGTGTGTGTGTGTGTGTGTGTGTTGTGACGCGCGGTGTCGCCCTCATCGCATGCACCGCCACGGCGAAAGGGAATCCCATTTGTCCCTCTTCCGTGTGATTTCCTCGCACCGCTTCGCTCCGTCTCTCTCGCACTCGTGGGGGGCGTATGTACATACATACCGTGTGCACCGCGCTGCGGGTGCGAGAGAGACGGAGGCGGCGAGGTGTTCGTCGGCGCAAGGCGGCGCAAGGCGGTGCAGGCGCGCGGGCCGGCCGGCCTCTCGTGACCGAAATGCGTTATGGTCTGGACTTCCCCCTACCGCCACTCGTTCCTCGCGGCGGTGGTGTTGTGCTCGCGGACCTGCACATGAGGACCTTGCAATCAAGTGGCCGCGCGTCGGCGCCGCGAGTCGATTCGCGTGGCGGCGGGGCGGGGCGGGGCGGGCGAGGCGGGGCGAGGTGGGGCGGGGCGGGGTGGGGCGGCCCGTGGCGGGGCGGCCGTGTTCAGAAGCATTATTAGCCACTGACACTTTCCGGGGTCACGCCCTTTGCGGCGCTCGCTTTCAGCCCCTGCACTTGCAGTGGCCCTGCACTTGCAGTGGCCCTTGCACTTGCAGTGGTGCCCACCTCGCCGCCGTCCACGTCAACGCGGCGGCACGCTCTCTGTCTCTCTCGCACCCGTCCGGGTCGCCCCGTGAGTGCGAGAGAGAGAGAGAGAGAGAGCATTGCCTGTCTAATTGACGGGATGACTAATTGACTGGCTGTCGAGCGACGCGCCCTGGTTCCCTCCTGCTGTCTCAAAATTGAAGAGGGAAAAAAGAGGAAAAAATTGGAAATAAAAAGAAAATTCCGTTTGGTATTTGAACCGGCTCCCGTCTGCTCTGTTGTTATTGTTGTTACTAACGTCTAGCTGTTGCTTTTTTTTTTTTACAGGAAAAGACCGGCGGCGGCCAGTCGTACTCGTCCGGGAAACATGCGTCCCGACCCGATCTCAGTCCGGTGTATGGTAAGTAGATGCAAAGCACACGGCCGAAAAGAGAGAGAGAAGGAGAGGATAAAAGTGAAAAATGATAAATCGCGACGGAGAATCCGCCAGAGCTGAATGTGCCCCGTGGACATGCTGCCCGGTGCAAAGCGTGCAAAGCCCGTAATGAAAAGTATCGGTTCAGGCCGATGTGTACACTCGTGTGTGTGAGTGTGTGTACACACACACACACGCACACATGTGTTCAAGGTACAGGCCGGCCTGGAAGGTTTAACCCGTTGGTGCTTGAGCTCGCGGTGAGATTGGGGGGGGGGGGGGGGGGTCGAAGGAGGGCGGGGAAGAGACCGCCTCACGTTAAGGCCTCATTATACTCCGCTAATGAGAATTCCGATAACCTGCTCAAGGAGCTTCTGGCTTTACGTGCTTTGGCGTGGCGGCGCGTTGCGGCCCGACCAATCAGAACGCGGCTGGGATGACGGCGACGACGGCCAGGGTCTGACGGCCAGGGTCTTGACGGCCAGGGTCTTGACGGCCAGGGTCTGACGGCCAGGGTCTGACGGCCAGGGTCTTGACGGCCAGGGTCTGACGGCCAGTGTCGTCTGACGGTCAGGGTCTTGACGGCCAGGGTCTTGACGGCCAGGGCCTTGACGGCCAGGGTCTGACGGCCAGGGTCTTGACGGCCAGGGTCTTGACTGCCAGGGTCTGACGGCGGCCTCGCTGTACTGGTGGCGCGCTCCGATACACTACAAGGGTCGTGGCTGCACTGTGTGCCGGGGGTGATCAGGTGTCGCTGTCGCTGCGTGCGCGTGCGTCATTACACGCCCACTGGATTCATTAGGTGTGGTAATGGGCCCTCGATGAGTCTCTCTGTCTCCCAGCGCTCCCCCTCCACCTCCCCTCCCCCTTGCGCCCGAGGTGGCTGCTGTGATGCTTGTTAGCCGGGGAACGTGTCGCCACAAGCTCGTGCGTGTGTGTGCGCGTGCGTGCGTGTGGGTGTTTGTGTGTGCAGAAGGAAGGGGTCCGGGGCGAGGAGGCATGAGTGAACCCGGTCCGCCGGAACCTGGAACCGCCGGAATGCCTGCGGAATGGCGCGCGTCCAGGACCGTCCAGGACGATGACGGCGTGCTCGACGTGCCCGTCGTCCCCCCCACTTGGCGCTGCTCTCCATGAGCTGCTCGTGCAGTGACGTCGTGTTACCGTATGCGAGCCGGCCTCGGCCCCCCGCGGCCCCCCTCGGACGCGGCGCGGTCCAGCCAGAGGAGAGGCAACGCCGCAGCCGCTTAGCATGCTGGGCCCGCCAGGCCCGGGGCCCCTCGCCCCCTCTCTCTCTCCCCCTCCCCGCCCAGGGGGTCCCTAGTGGGGGCTCCACCCACTCGGCCTTTGTCTCCGAGCTCTCCGAGGTACCGGGTACCAGCTATAGCCTCGCCGCCTGGCTCTGGCCGCCGCGCCGCCGCGCCCGTATGCGTCGGGATGGCCCCCCCCCCCCCCCCCCCCTTCCCCCGGCTGGCCGTCTGGCCCGCACGGCCGGACTGCCGGTCTTACCCGCAGGCCGCCACGCCGCAGGACAAGGTTCGCCTCGCCGCGGCCGCCTCGGCTCTTGAGCGCGGGCCGCGCTGGCGGCACTGCTTGGGGCTCGGGGCGTGGTGGACCCCGCTCTGGCGACGCGCACAGTGGGGGCCAAAACTCTAGACGCGTTTTGAGCTCCAGAGTCGCTAAATGGGACTCGAACCGAACGTGTGACCCCACCAATGGATTGCTCTCGGAACGAGGAACCCATTGGTGGGGTCACACGTTCGGTTCGAGTCCCATTTAGCGACGCTGGAGCTCGAAACGCGTCTAGAGTTTTGGCCGCCTCCACCGGTCTTCTGGCCCACTGTGACGAGCTGTCGTCGTCGAGGGGCCGTCGGCGTCGTCGGCGGCCGTGTTGACCCTTGCCGTTAGCGCCGCGGTGGCGAAGGCGAAGGTAGCCGTCAGGCCGAAGAGCGCCTCCCCCCTCCCCTCCCGGCCGTTTCGCCGAGCTTGGCGTTTCGCGCTCGGCGTTTCGCGCCCAGACGCGCGATAATGCCTCTGATTGGTCGCGGCTCTCCCGCCAGAAACGGTCCGCCTCGTAAACACTGCATATGTATGTGTGTGGGACGGCGGCGGCCAAGGCGGCGGCCAAGGCGGTGTCGCGGCGGAAGGGTTCGCCCGCCCCCGCCGCCCCTCCAAGGACTTGTCCTTGACTTGTCTGTCTCTCTCGCACGCCCGAGGGACGCCCCGCGAGTGCGACAGAGACGGAGCGACGAAAGGTTCCTTCGGTCGGACGACGTCATGTCGGCGGGCAATTTTGACGCGGCGCGGCGCGCGCTGCTGGTCCGGCCGGCCGGGGGCAGGCGTGTCGATTTGCATGACGGGGCGATTTGGTGGCGGGGCGGGGCGCGGCGGGCGGGGCGGGGCGGGGCGGGCGCGGCGCGGCGCGGCGCCGGCCGCTGCACTTACCTGTTGGATGATGTGATAAGGCTTTAGATAAGCCGGCGGGGTGTGAGGTAATGGCGACCGCTGCACTGGCGCCCCGCCCCGCCCCGCCCCGCCCCGCCCCGCCTCGAGGGTCGCGCCTGGCTTCGCTCGCCGCGTTTTGTTCCGGAGGTAATATCTGTATCGGGATCAATCTCGGCTCGGTGGTGTCGACGGCGCGGCCGGTGGCGTGCAACGGAGGCGGCCCCGGTGACCCGCTGCCCGAGGTGCCCGTCGACCCCCAACCCCCAGGAATGTTGGGGTAGTCGCTCGCGGACGGCCCCTGCCCGCCCCTGCCCGCCACTCGCGGCCTCTGCTTGTTTTGGGCTGGGTCCAGGACGGTCCAGGACTCCAGGACGCCGTCCAGGAGGATCCTCGTAATAATGCGTATAATGCGACAGGGCCATCTTCATAAACGCCCGGCCGTCCGCCTGGCTGCCTGTCCGTCTGTCCGGCCGGCTGCCTGTCGGGCTGCCCGTGCGTGGCGCTGCAAGGGTGAAGTGCTGCACCTTCGCCTCCTCCTCCTCCTCCTACCTTTATTTTTTCTCTCTCCCACTTTCTTTCTTATTTTCTCCTGCCAGAAATCACTAAAAAATAAATAATAAGGAAGAAACATCCAATCTTGACTCCGTCCCGCCTCGCCTCGGGTAGTGGCAGGAATGGGTGGGAGGGGCCCCCGGTGCCCCCGGCGGGGAGGGTCCCTGAGGACGCTGCCGTGGAGTGGATTCCAGCTGATTCCCAACGATGGACAAATTGTGCAAGGAACGGGTCTGGGAGCCCCTCGCACCAAGGGCCTCGGACCTGCGGCCTGCACCTGCACTCCAAGTACTGTACTCTGGGGTCCCTCACCGGTTCCTCGTTGGCCGAACCGTCTGATTCATTCTTGGCCCCGAATAACAGGCATAGCGGGGCACTCCCCCTCGTTGTGAGGCTGGGCCGGGCTGGCTCGCTTACGGACCGCCCCCTGCTTCGTGATACGCATCAATCAGAGGGGAATCAATCGAACGTGACGCATGGTGTCCGGGGGGCCCGCGCCTAAGCCAGCTCCTTTTCGCACAATGGATGGTGTAGCATAATTACTTAGGCATCCCCATTTGATGGCGCGCCATAAAACGCCAGTGGATAAACCAGGTATGCTTTATAGCTTGTTGGAAGGCGAAGGTCTCCGAAGGTTTCCCCTTTCTTTTGTCCGTTGTCTCTGTTGCTCTCCCGGCAGTGTCATTTATAACACTGGTCATAAACAATTGAGGACCAGCCACTCTTCTTCTTCTTCTTCTTCTTCTTCTTCTTCTTCTTCTTCTTCTTCTTCTTCTTCTTCTCCTCCTCCTCCTCCTCCTCCTCCTCCTCCTCCTCCTCCTCCTCCTCCTCCTCCTCCTCCTCCTCCTCCTCCTCCTCCTCCTCCTCCTCCTCCTCCTCCTCCTCCTCCTCCTCCTCCTCCTCCTCCTCCTCCTTGTTCTTCTTGTTCTTCTCTCCGGGTCAAAGTCAGTGTCTGGGGGCCCGTCGTTCGTGCGGCGCTCGGCGTATTTTATTCTTGTTATTATTATTATTTTTGTTTTATGATCGCGCCCTGACGGGCCGACGTGGCCCGACGTGGCTCGCTCGCCATTACGTTTCACGGAGGTATATCATTGTTCGCGCCGTTTCCGACCGGATGTGGTCGTCTTGCAGAAATGTTAGGAAATGGGCGGCCGACGACGGTGTCGCTGCTGCGCCCCGTCTCGTTGCCGCCTCTTTTCTTGTTTTTGTTTTGTTTTTCTTTTTTTTTAGAAAATGAAAGGAAAGGCGCGGGAAATAAACCGGCCTTCGTCGTACTAGACCGAAAAGCCGCTAATTAAAAATGAAATTGCAGTCGGAGAAAGAAAAATACTGTGTCAGTCGTGTGCTGTGACTGGGCGAAGTTACAATGAATGAATGTCACTCGCGTTGAACGCTGGGGCCGGAGCATTCCATGGGGAAAAATAGCCGCATCAGAGTAACTTTTTGGACGCGGGGTCCCGGGCCTCGGGGATCTTGACGTGACTGACGTCTCCCTCTCGGGGTGCTGATTCGTCGATTCGGCCTCAGTATTTGCTTATCGCTGTCGTGGAGTGTAGGTGGCCCGAGGTGGCCGTCGGGCCGCATACCTGTCCAACCTGGCCGCCCGGCGGCACTGTCTGGAGGCGGGGAGGGGGGGGGGAGGGGGTGCGTATTGTGACAGGTACAGGCGGCGTTCGGCGGAGTTCGGCGACTCTTCGCCGCGTCTCTGTCTCTGTCGCACAGTGGGCCAGAAGACCGGTGGAGGCGGCCAAAATCCCGGACGCGTTTTGAGCTCCAGAGTCGCTAAATGTGACTCGAACCGAACGTGTGACCCCACCAATGGATTGCACTCCAAACGAGGAATCCATTGGTGGTGTCGCACGTTCGGTTCGAGTCCCATTTAGCGACTCTGGAGCTCAAAACGCGTCTAGAGTCTTGGCCGCCTCCACCGGTCTTCCGGCCCACTGTGAGCCGCCCCGCGGAAGAAAGTGTCTCTCACCCTTCCGCCGAGCGACATTCCCCGCCCCGTGTCGACACACGCTAAGATTATTTCGCTCTAAAATTAATATCTCTGTTTGGCTCTGGCTTGTTTGTCCCCGATGGCATGGCGGTCGTTACTGTTTGAGATAACCTGGCGTGTGCGCGGCATGCGGCGTGGCTCGGCCCCGAGGGCCGCGGCGGGCCGCATTTAGCATAGCAGCATTCCTGAAAGAACACAAAAAAAATTATTCAAAAATAATTCAGAAATTAAAGAAGCTTTGAAATGTTGAAATCCGTCCGAAATGCTGTACTAGTGTGTCGAGGAATGGCGGCGGCGGTGCGTACGTACCGACCGTACCAACCACCGGCACCGGAAGGCGTGTGTTTGGCCATCGGGCGATTAATAAATAACCCAAGGGGCAAACAGATCGGAGGGGCGGCTGCGTATATTTGGACACGGCCCGCGCGCTGTCCCCACACGCCGCCACCGCCATGGCCGCCACCGCCGGCTAGCTGGCTTCCGGCGGTACACCTTCTCGGGGCACCGCGACGTGGAGGCTGACGTGGAGGGTTTGGCCAGCGCGGAGGGTTTTGGAGGGTTTGGCCGACGCGGAGGGTTTTTGGAGGGTTCGGCCGACGCGGAGGGAGTTGGAGGTCGACGTGGAGGGTGTTGGAGGGTTCGGCCGACGTGGAGGGTGTTGGAGGGTTCGGCCGACGCGACGGTTTTGCCCGTCTAGTTCTAGTTGACGCACGGCCCTCTCCAAGGCGGCCCTGCGGGAATGCGGCCGCGGCGCACGCGCGCGTGATGGATTTGCCCAAATGTTGCCGCGGAGCGCTGACACGAGGTTTACTCGGGACGCGGTCTGATTTACGCCATTTGTCGCGCCGAGTGCCGCGGCGACCTGCCGGCCCTTCACTGTCTCTCTCTCTCGCACTCGCGGGCCGCCCCGTGCGGCCCCGTGGGGGTGCGAGAGGGACGGAATGACGGGACGGCGCAGAGGTCGCGGGAAACACATGGGCGCGTCGTATCGGCCGCGACCCGGCTGCTATTAGTCTGCCCGGCCGGCAGACAAATTTGTGGCGCGGGCCCGGCTCGTCACAACACCCTTGCAGTCTCGGCCGGCGGGCACGGCGGGGACGAGACAAGGCGTTACGTAACGCGACCAATTGGCCGTGTACAGTGTGGTGCCACTACCTGGGGCCGGGGCGGCGGGGGCAAATATTGGCCCCGAGATGTTTGTCAGGAAGTGGGGCTGTCGATTGCTCGCTTCGATTGCTCGATTCGATTGCTCGATTGCGGGAGGATGTGCCTGTTGCTCTCGGAGGACTCACTCGGAGGAGGGCGACGGATCGACGACGGATCATGCGCTCGGTCGGGCGGCAGAGGGCGTCTCTCTCTCCCTCTCTCTCTCTCTCTCTCTCTCTCTCTCTCTCTCTCTCTCTCTCTCTCTCTCTCTCTCTCTCTCTCTCTCTCTCCCTCTTCCTCTCCACAGTATGTTGACCGCTGTGTGTGATTTCTTTTTACAGGGAAGCTGGAGCCCACTCCCCATACGTCGAGTTTCAACATGGGCTACCTCGTGTCACCGTACTCTTACCACAACGGCGCCGCCGGACCCATCCCTGTCTCAATGGTGAGTCTCGTCCAGTGTACACACCACTGTAAAAGGGGTGAATGGTGAGTCTCAATCAGTGTACACACGCCACTGTAAAAGGGGTGGTTCACCTCGTTCTTCGCGGGGTGTTGGCAGTTATTTCTTTGCAGGGTCGGTCGTTTCCGCGATGCGCATTTTTTCTCACACAACCGGGCGTGACACTTCTGCCCCAAGCATTCGGGGGGCGAGGGGGTTTGCCGTCGTGTCGGTGTGGCTCTGCCCGTTCCCTGGTTCTGGGAAAAGAGAGAGAGGGAGGGGGGGGGGGAGCGGGTGTGCAGGTGTCTGTGTGTGAGTGTATGAGTCTGCGCGCGGGTCCGCCTGCTTGGCGGCCAGTGTGCGACCGGTGACCTTCCTGATAGTAAGCACCGGGGAGCGAGGCTTACAGGGGCTCCGGGGGTCAAGGCTTCCCCTGCACACACACACACACACACACACACACACACACACACACACACACACACACACACACACCCACACACCCACACAGCTGCTTCAGGTGTCGCGGTGTAGTGGTCGCCAATGAATCGAAGTGCGTCCTCGGTCGGCGGGCGATCGCGGAGGCGAAAGTACACTGGGAAAGCGAGCGACGAAGACGCAGACGGGAAAACGGTGGCATAAATGGAAACGAAGCGAAGCCAAGCGAAGCGAGGCGGTGTATGGTTTTGGCCTTTTGGTGCCTTTTGGCCTGCAAGGTTTGCCCGGCGGGGTTGCCAGACGGCCCACCACGGCGCGCGCTGGGGCCGGCGGCCTACGGCGGCTCGGGCCTGGGCCGTGTGGAGCCCACACTGTGGACGAGCCCCTGCCTGCCTGGCTGCCCGCCTGCCTGGCTGCCCGCCTGCCTGGCTGCCCGCCTGCCTGCCTGCCCGCCTGCCTGGCTGCCCGCCTGCCCCTCCCGAGGCGTGGCGGCGTTGCCAGGCGGTGCGGCCCGGGGCAGACGACACTTTGAGCGTTTTTAGCAGTGGGCCGTGCGATCGGGGCGATGCTCTTCCGCGGGGCGTTGTGTCGTCGTCGTCGGCTCCGCCGCGTTGCACCATTTCGAATTTCCCACCTTTTCCTGCTTTGGTCAGTGTCGCCCCAATGTAAGTGGTTGTCATCGTGTCACGTGACCCGCGCCGCCTCGGCGGCCACGCATGATCACTCCTGTGTGAGGGAGCGAGAGAGACAGCGCGTGTTGTTGTTGTTGTTGTTGTTGTACTCCATCGGGGGGCGGCGGCGGTGCGAGGTATCCTCCCCATGACTAATAACACTCTGATCGCAGCTCGGCCACTGGACGATGAACCGGCGTGGCGCGGCGTGGCGCGGCGCAGCTGCGAGCACTTTGCTCTTGCATTTCGCGCCATGTCTCGGCCAGTCAGTCGGCCGGCGTGTTGATTGACTGATTTCGTAATGAATCTTGACCGGACGGGCTGTGTGTGTGTGTGTGTGTGTGTGTGTGTGTGTGGTGTGTGTGTGTGGAGCGCGTCTTCTATAAGAGGGCCTGCGTCGAGGCCGGTCGGTGCGGTGTACGCACTAAGCGTACGAGTCCAGGGAGTTGGACAGGCGTGTGGTTATAGGCAGACAGGCGTGGTGCTAGCTAACACATGTCGTACAGTGAGTGAGGAGAGAGGAGGGTATGAGGAAAAAGGAGAAGGGGGGGGGGGTCTTCGGCAGGCACTTGCTTATTTAGTAAATGGGCAAAAGGTTGTGTGTGTACTCAGGCAGGGCGCGGCGGCGGCGGCGGTGCGGCGCTGTGTTTGCTGACGACGAAAAAGTGTGAAGAACCTTGTCGCATTCCAGTATTTAACGGGCCAGCGGCGCCTTGATAAGGCCGCTTCATCGCTCGTCTTGTTGTTGTTGTTGTTGTTGTTGTTGTTGCTTGTGTGTCGGCGCGCGTCGTCGCGGCGTGGGAAAACGCCATGCAAAGCCGCTTGTCGGCGGCCGCCACCGCGGTCGTGTGGATTGAATTGGCGATTCGAATGTGCCCGCGCGTGGATGCGACGCCGCCGCCGCCGGGGGACGCGCGCGACGGTCTTGTTGTCCTGGACGGCTGCTGCGGGATTTGGGAGAGTTGACGTGTCGCTCTGTCTCCCTCAAGGAGAGTCCGGGAGAGTCCTATGAGTGCGACGGAGACAGAGCGACGAAGTGACTCTCCTCGGACACGCCCTCCGCGCCGCCGCCGTTGTCTCGGCTCGTCGGCGTGCCGAGCGGTACGGAAGCCGCGGCCCGACGAAGGCGGCGAAGGTGTTGGGGTCATGAGCAGGGCGGGGCGGGGCGGGGCGGGGCGGGGCGGAGCGGGCGTGGAGCGGCGGGGCGCGGCGCGCTTGCCTGTGGGAATGGTCCGATCAGGTGCGATAACCAGGCCACAACGCGGCCGGCCCGCCCGCCCGTCCTTCCAGAGGGCCTTCTAAGCCTTCCAGGCATTACACCGACCCGGCCGGCGAGCCCCTCGGACGAGAGGGCCCTCTCGCAGTGGCGCGGAGAGGGGCACGGCACGCCTTATTTGGGCAGTCTACTCCATACATCAAGCTCCATTTATCTCTCTCTTTCTCTCTCTTCCCTCTCTCTCCACCTCTCGCTCTCGGGGCCCTCCCCTGTCACTCTTTTTACTTTTTCTCTCTCTCTCTCTCTGGTGTGCCTCTTCTGCTTTATCGCCTCTTGTTCTCCATCGCCGTTCCGCTCGCGGCTTCAGCCACCCGAAGGTACCCGAAGGTACCCGAAGGTGCCCGAAGGTGGACCCGAAGGTGGAGCCGAGGCCGAGGCCGAAGTGTCGCTGCCGTCCGAAAGGCCTCCGCACGCCGCGTACCGCATACCGTAATACCATCGCCAGGGGTTTCTTGGCAAGCACGTCGCGTTTTGATTGTGTGTGTGTGTATGTGTGTGTGTGGCGAGTGTGTGCGCGCGGCCATCCCTGCCCAGACGGGTACCTCTCCTTGCCCCCTCTCCCCGGTCGGGGGCTTCTACCTGTCGAATGGGCTGTGTGGATAAGCGACACGCTCTGGGATGATGGATAGGTTGGTTTCGATAGCCGCCCTCCTCCTCCTCCTCCTCCTCCTCCTCCTCCTCCTCCACCACCTCCTCCTCCTCCTCCTCCTCCTCCTCCTCCTCCTCCTCCTCCTCCTCCTCCTCCTCCTCCTCCTCCTCCTCCTCCTCCGATTCCCCAAGTCTCTCGCCTGCTCGCTAATTCATTTCCCTTATTTGTTTTTGGGAGATGGTCGTTCCGGGAACGGCCGTCCGAAGCGTCATGGTGACGGCCCCGTCATCCATTGGTCACTGTTAATTGGCATCGTCATCGATCAAGATCAATTATCAGCCCACGCGGCCTCGCGGTCCCAGAGCCATGATTTTTAGAGGGTCGGCTTCGCGTTCCAATTCGGGTCTCACGGGAATGCCTAGAAATGTCTAGGAAACGTCCTCGCACTGTGTAAAAGATGAAGATTTTGAGCTTCAGACATCGCCGAGAAGTAGGCACTCATTAGTTGACACGTTCAAAACCTGCACAATGGCTGTCATCTTGCGTGATCTGGTCACTAGACCAGCCCAAATCGTGGAAATGGCATTAAAAGGATGATCTTCCAAACGACGGACAAGGTTTTCAATTGGGTGTCGGGGGACGAACGCGTCGATTGGTGGGGCCGACCGGAACGAACGTGCGCAACCGTGCTGGTCCGCCCAGGCGAACGGACAGACGGACAGACAGACTGGCGGGGTACCCCCTAACAAGCCAGGCCGCTCCACTCGCCTTGCCTCGCACCGGCCGGCTCGGCAGCGCCTCGGGCTGCTCAACACCTCGACAGCGCGTTTAGTAATTTTGGTGAGCATCGCCGATGTTGTTGCTGCTGTTGTTGTGGCCTGCAGTGCGATGATTCTTTTTCCGAGCGTCATTTTTGCGCAAAGTGGCTGGCTTGCCCAATGAAAGTCCTGTTTGCGTCACGAAGTCTCCGCGGCTTTTTTCACCGTTGGGCGATTTGAAATGACCTGCAGGGCCGCAGCGGTACCGGCAGCAAGGCGACCGTTAGGCAGTCTTTTAGTTTGCGGACTTTGGCAACGCTCGACCACGCTAGGCCTCGCAAGTCCTGGAGCTTTGGCCTACCAGCTCGAGGCTGGGTGAATTGTTTGTTGAAAGCTTGTGGGTCCCTGCGAGGGGTCGGCGTTGTGGGCCTTCGGACTGCCTTCGGCGGATTCATGCACCGAGTTTTCCTGAGGTTCCTTGGCCACGGTCATGACTGTCCCGAGGAGGCGGACGGTACTTAGACAAGGCGGCCGAGGTGGCGAGCGGGGATGGACCAGTCCGAGGCGGAAAGATGGAAGAGTCATTTCTTAGCTTAGGTTTTCAATGTTACTCCATCACTCCTGGCTTTTATCCTCCTTTTACTCGGCCGGATCACGACCAAGGGCTTTTCTGCCTGTCATGCTTTTGGCCTGCGGTTCGCTGCGGCATGGCTGTGGCCCTGTGGGGCCCTAGGCAAAGGACTGCACTGTCCCTTGGGGACCGGTACTAAAGGGGGATCGGGAGGAAATGTTGTGCAGTTCAGGCGAAGCTGGGTTGAGGTGAACCTTCTGAACGGTTCAACTTCCCAAACAGGTGCATCCTGCTGAGCTCTGAGCAGATGAAACCTCCCGAACTCATGAATTTAATCTCAAAGATGGGAGAAGATGAACCTGAAGTGGGAAACATTCCAAACAGATGAATCTGCTTGAAGAGTGAACTCGAGACCAGATGAACTCTCATTAGAAGACCTCAGACGCATCTTTTCAAACGACGAACCTCCTGAACAGATGAACCCGATAGGGTGGATCTCCTCCAGAGGACCGATGAACCTGCTGCGAGAGGTCATCCTCCCTCCCAGTGATATTCCAAAAGGTGTTCCTGGAGGCGGCTGATGCGTCGGACACGGCAGGTTGGGCATTTTTAAATTGAATCCATAAGAGGCGATGATGGTGATGAGGATAGGTCGTGAGTTCCGATCGGATCGCGGCAAGGTTTCGTGAGGCAGGTATCAGACAAGGCGTTGCGTGCGTGTAAATGCCGCACATTACACGATGCGCACGCTACTCTTCCTCTTTGCTCTTCATTTTTCCTTTTCCACCTCATTTTCTGGTTTTCTCTTCCCGTTACGTCCTCGCCGTCTTGCTGCGGACGATCCTTTCGTCTAATTGGGATAAACAAGGTGCGTTTTTCATCTTTCTTTGAACTGCCCATTGTAAACAGGGCTCCTTCTCGTGTGTGTGCGTTTGTGTGCGTGTGTTGTACCTGCCTACCTGCCCTGCACTGCAGGCTTTGTGCAACTCCCCCTTCCCCCTTCTTCTCAAGGCTACGCCGGGCGATGCCGTAGCGATGCTGCCTGGTCGGCATCTCATCCCGATGACCTCACGGCGTATGAATGAATGGAAGCAAGGCTGGCTGCAAGGCCTGCAAGGGTTGGCGGCGGGCTTGGTTAGGCTGTGGTACCGCACGAAAGGCGTGGCTCTGGAAAGGCAACCACCTCAGGAAGGGGCCTCTTGCTCTCGCCACTTGGCAAAAAAAGAATCCGTCGACTGTTTCCTCGTCGGAGATTTGGGCAGCTCGGCGTTTTGTGGAGTGACGGACGTCCGGCCGGATTATCAGCCTGGGAACGGCGGCGCACAACAATGCAACTTGCCCCGCTGAACACAACCGGCCAAGGCTTTGGCCCGCTTTGGCCTAGCGGCCGAAAGCCGAAGCAGAAGGCCCTCCAGGGGGAGAGAGATTTGGTCGCCGCCACGCCCCGGTTCTTTCTTCTGACATTATGTCATTACGTTATCGCCGAGGGAAGCTCAATGAGCCGAACCGGTGCTGATGTGATGGGATATCCGGTGCAGTGGGCTAGACGGGCGGGGCGGCCCGGCTCAGGTAGTATAATGATGTCGGTCGGTTTCGGCGCTCGATTCAAATTCGGTCTCGTACGAAAATGATCACGTGCGTCACACATGGCTATCAATTGCTGTTCTAGTTTTGCGAAAAAGTCTTTGAAGAAACATATTTGGATCACCGATCACCTAAAGGTTATGGCTGCCATATAAATTGAGAGGAATCTCGTCAAAAAGTCGCTGTGCAATGACCGCAGTAGGTATTCAGATGAATTGGCCGAGCGAATGAATCTCGGTCATGAGACGGGAATCTGCAATTGATTAAAAAAAAACATGATGGGATTTGTGAAAAAAAAAAAAAAAAAAGAAGGGCAAAAAGGCGAGCCAGCTTTTTGGCGGTGTCGCGTTGTCGCCGCTGGGGATCAGTAAATGCGCGCGAATAGGAGCGAAATCCGAATCTCCGCCCGGAGCTGCGTATAATAGTGCCTTTGTGCCGGTGAAGAAAATATTGTGGGTGTATCACATTGCTGCCGGCGGGCCGGTGGCGGGGCCGGTGGCGGGCCGAGGGAATGCGCGTCTCCTCAGGTGCGACAGAGACAGACAGACGTGCGTGTCAATACAGGGCCCGGGCCACAATGGCGGAGCCGCGCGGAGCAGAGGACGCCGAATCGAATCGATCTGGAAGAGCGAGAGAGACTTATCACCTGTGATTTAATAAAAAAAGAGAGAAGCGGGGATTTAATCATGTGAAGGGCGCGCGGGGGGAAAGGATTTTTTGGCTGCGGAGGAAAGGGCGGTTGGGCGCATCTTTTGATTTCATTTTCTGTTTCCTCTCTCGGGGGACTTGTTGCCGTTGTGGGATTCGATTTGCATCGCGGGGACACGGGACAGGCGGGCAAGGCGAGGCAGGCCGGGCAGGCCGCACCCACCACAGTCGTCATAACGCGTTCAGATCACATCTCTATTGTGTGCATATGTGGACACGCCGGGGAGTTTGGGGGGGGAGTTTGGGGGGGGAGGGGGGGATTCCAATAAGTCAGTGGCGACGTCGGTATACGGTATTTATTAACACTACTATACTCGCTTTTCGTTTCATTTGTGTCTTGCGTGCTTGCCGCCCTGATTGCTGCCTGTGTGTGTGTGTGTGTGTGTTGTGCACGGCGTATTAAATTTTATGCCCGCTTGTCGTGTAGCGCAGCCCTTTGGCAGGGTCGTTGCGATGATGGGCAGCGAGCGGACGATAAGACTCTGTGTGTGTGTGTGTGTGTGCTCAGAGTCGGGTTTACACTCGGTTGGAGTATCTTTGGGCGTACGTACACCCGGATGGAGTCTCTCTGAATGTCCTATGACGAGAATACGCTCCACTGTTAAAAAAATCAGTTGTAATTTTCATAACATTGGTTGGCATTTTTTTTCACAAACAATTGTTATGAAAATTAAAATCACAAATGATTGTAAATTGTTTTAAAATCACGATATGAAAATTCATATCATGTTATGAAAATTAATATTCGCGTTTGCGAGGTCATTTTAGGGCAGTTAAACAAAAGGACAACTAATTGTTCATGTATATGAACACCGATGCGGCCTTATGCCATTTATTGAACCGATTCTAATTTTGATCAGCGGGTTTCGAACCCGGGATCTTTGACTTGTGGTGCACGCTCTTTACCGCTGTGCTACCACGTCCCACGGGAGGCGGAGGGTCAGCTACCTGATGACTCTACCAGCGCCCCTTGGCCAGGCCTCTTGAGCCAGTTATGAAATTTACAATCGGATTCGGAAAATTACTATTGTGAGCTCAAAATCAACACTTAAGATTCGCAATTTTCAGAACATGGTTTGAAAATTACCAACAATTGTCAATTTTACGAAATTGTTTCGAATTTTCGCATCAAGTTATGAAAATTGCAATGTTTGTAAAATTCATATCCGTGTTCGGAAAATTGTCATCAAAATTGCTTTGAAAATTCATAACTTTTTTAACAGTGTCTGCAAGAGTATCGTGGGGTGTCACTCGAAGTGGATTTCAGGCCTGCATAAATGCACACGCCTTTCGCGCCCAGCCAGAATGAGTACATGCACGTCGAGTAGGACTGCGTCTCATCCGTTTCCGGACGCAGTGTAGTGCGTCTGAGCGGACGCGGCGCGCGTGGACTCGTCGTTGGAGCCTGGCCGCGGCGACGCGCCTCCAAGTGGTCGAGATGGGACCGCTGGGGGCCGCGGCCCTACACAGTGGGCCGGAAGACCGGTGGAGGCGGCCAAAAACCTAGACGCGTTTTAAGCCTCAGAGTCGCCAAATGGGACTCGAACTTAACGTGTGACCCCACCAATAAGTTCGCTCTCCGAACGACGAATCCATTGGTGGGGTCACGCGTTCGGTTCGAGGCCTGTTTAGCGACTCTGGAGCTCCAAACGCGTCTAGAGTTTTGGCCGCTTCACCGGTCTTCTGGCCCACTGTGCCCTAGGCAGCCCTGGGCGCGAGCCGCGCGAGCCGAACCCCGTTTCAATTGGAGCGTCGTGACGTCATCGCCGGCAGGCAAAGGGCGGACGACGGCGACCTCCTCGTCCCCGGGGGTGTCGATGTCCTTGTCGGGGACGCACGCGGTGTCCGGGAGGCTGGCCGGCGGCGGCGGTCTCGGCGTCGTCACCGGAAGTGGGGTGTTGTGTCAGCGCCACTTGAGGTGACCGTCGGGGACGTCGGGGACCGGGGTGCGACGGCGGAGTGTATCTCGTATTATCACCGTGGCGGGGCGGGGCGGGGCGGGGCGTGGGTTATCAACGCGCCATCACCTCAAGCCCGACCCCCACCCCGCCCCGCCGCCCGCGACTCTCACGCGAAGGCGCGCGGCGGCGGCGTGGTGTGCGATGAAATATATTTATTAGCACTGTGGCGGCGCGGCCCGCGCTACTTTAAATTAAATTATTCGTCTGTTGGCGGTGCTCGCCGCGGCTTTATGTAATTGTTAATGAGAGTTTGTCCGGGCGGCAGTGTAGTATCGCGGTGGGCGCCGCCACGCCGCGGCCGTCGGTCCGATTCGGCGGCGATAGCGCGGCCCGCGACTGAAAAACGGCCAGCACGGCCAGCACGTGGAGCACGTGGAGAACGCCGTCCAGAACGCGGCGCGCCGCGAGCACCGCGGTCACGGCGAGCATCGCAAAGGCGCCGCCTGCGCCGCCGCTGCACAGAACTGGCGGTCCGCGCGTCGCTTCTAAACGGTCCCAGTCACGCACTGGACGTTCGTAGTCCGTAGCCACACAGTGGGCCGGAAGACCGGTGGAGGCGGCCAAAACTCTAGACGTGTTTTGAGCTCCAGAGTCGCTAAATGGGACTCGGACCGAACGTGTGACCCCACCAATGGGTTCCTCGTTCGGAGAGCAATCCATTGGTGGGGTCACACGCTCGGTTCGAGGCCTGCTAAGCGACTCTGGAGCTCAAAACGCGTCTAGAGTTTTGGCCGCCTCCACCGGTCTTCTGGCCCACTGTGGTCCGGACCGCCTGCCCCAACCAACAACAACACCGCCCCGGCGCACGCGTTGCTCTGGGTCAGTAATGCACACATTGTAGCGTATGGTCGCGGACGGAGTCTAGCGTACGAGGGGAGAAGAAAGAAAAAAGTTGGCGGGTGTATTTGAACCCACTGACTCGAATCGCCAGCGTTCCGTCTCGCTGACCAGAGTCAGTACACGCGTGTTCGTATATACACTGCCAGTCTGTGTATTTCAAACTCCCTGAATGAAAACGTTTTGGAAACTGAGCCGACTGTCCGTCTTTCCGCCTCACAGTGGGCCAGAAGACCGGTAGAGCAGCCAAAATTCGAGACGCGTTTTGAGCTCCAGAGTCGCTAAGCAGGCCTCGGACCGAACGTGTGACCCCACCAATGGATTCCTCGTTCGGAGAGCAATCCATTGGTGGGGTCACACGTTCGGTTCGAGTCCCATTTAGCGACTCTGGAGCTCAAAACGCGTCTCGAATTTTGGCCGCCTCCACCGGTCTTTTGGCCCACTGTGCGCCTGTCATGCCGCGGGGCCGTGTGGTGGGTGCCACTCCAGGGTCACCACTGTAAGTGTAGCACCGCACTTGTGCGCGTCGTTGTTGCTGATGCCGTTGTCGTCGTCGCGGGGCGGCGGTGCGGTGTCGGTTGGAGGAAGATGCCTGCTCCTATCTTATCGCCGTCTCTATCTTATCTCCGTCCGTGCCTGGATGGCCTGGCCGAGAGCCTGGGCTGGCCTGGCCTGGCCGCCCGGCCGGGTGTGTGTTCGACGAGCCTGGTGTCCCCGGCCTGCCCCGGCCCGGTCCGTTTTCATCCCCGTGTGCTGCTTATCTCGGACGACGGACGGACGGACGGACAGACAGACAGACAGACAGACAGACAGACAGACAGACAGACGGACAGACAGACAGACAGACAGACAGACGGACAGACAGACGGACAGACAGACAGACGGACAGACAGACAGACAGACAGACGACGACAGGGGCGACGGACAGACGGACAGACGGACAGACGGACAGACAGACAGACGGACAGACAGACAGACGGACAGACAGACAGACGGACAGACAGACTGACGGACAGACAGACAGACAGACAGACAGACAGACGGACAGGCCGACTGGACGACGCATGCGTGCGCACACAAGTTGTACTGTTCGCAAACGCAACGTGGTACACATATTTTCTCGTGTTTTGGTTTTGTTGGACGCGACGCTGGCTTGCGGCCCCTCGAGGAGATGGGTCTGCGGAAGGAAGACGAGTGTGGGAGAGAGAGGAAGAGGGAGGGACAGAGAGAGAGAGAGAGAGAGAGAGAGAGAGAGAGAGAGAGAGAGAGAGAGAGAGAGAGAGAGAGAGAGGTCAGTGAATGGGACAAGTCGCTGGTGGTACTCCGTCCTTTTTTCTGCACCGAAGGCCT